GCGCCCGCGGGTCTGGCCCGGGCGGGCCCGGCTGTGAGGCTGGGCCGGGCTTCGCACCACCTTCGCGGGCGGGGCCTGATCGGCGCGGCTCCGGTTCCCTCCCTGGCCGCGCAGCGGAGACCACCCCAGGGCCGGAGTCCCCGGGGAGATGGAGGCTGCTCCCTTTCCCAGAGATCGGGGCGGAGGGGCCTTACCCCAGCAGGCAGGAAGGGGGCTCGCAGCAACCCCTCTTTCGAAAAAACATAAAGCTCCCCTTCAAATAAACCTCTATGGCAGATACCAAAAGTCATGTATTAGGAAAGTGCCCCTAATTTGGCCTCCAACAGTCAAGAAAGAGGTTCCTCACCATTGTCCCTTAGGGGCCCCAAGTGCGGTCTTGCCCATTGGAGCTAGAAAGATTAGGGGGAAAAAAAGAGGTGGTATAAAAAAAGGCATGTGCCTCCCCTCTCATTTCCGCCATCCTCTAGCTCAGTGGTCTTTAAGTCAGAGTTCATGATGATCTCAGAAAATTCCAGAGAACTCTCCTGACCTAGAATGAAAAATGTTATGTGTGTGCGTTTGGGTGGCTGGAGGGGAATCCCATGCTTGTCTCCAGGCTCACAGGTATGACCTTACCCTCAAAACATTAACAGCTTGGGGCCTAGTTGAAAATCAGGAAGGTGACCCTTCCCTCAGATGTGGGGTGCTCAGGCACTCTCCCTCCCACCCGAGACCCCAGACAACCCTAACCCAGCAGTTTCCCAAAGGACCCTCCGTATCCAGTGAGACCTGGAATCCCCCGCATTTATACATTTTTTTTCAGCTTTCCAAAGTGCGTCTCTGTTCATTCCCATATTTGACTCTCACAGTCACACGTGTGTGAAGGAACAGGCACAGAGGGCTGAGGTGACATCCAGGGTCACAGCCACAGTAACAGCTCCCGAGGTCTCCTGGCTTCGCCTTCTGCCTTCTTATAGCCCTCTGTGCAGCCGGAGCAAGGCTTTAACAGGAAATTCTGATCTTGTTACCCTTGCTTCAGACTCTGCAGCGACAGTCCCTTTACCAGTCCCCCATGACCCCTGCTCACCCTGACCCTCATCTTGTGCTGCTCCCACCTCACTCACTCAGGCCCCAACTCCTCTGGCCCTTCCTCTGTTCCTCAGATTCTCCAAGTTTCTCCTTCCCTCAAGACCTTTATAGCACTGCTGCCTCCATCTGGAACATTCTTTCCTCATCTCTACTCCTCCCATGGCCGGCTCCTGCTTCAGATGTCAGTTTAAATGTCACCTCCTCAAATATCCCAACCATCCTAAGTAGACACCCAAATTCTCGATTATGGCACCCCATTTTCCCCTTCATAGTATTTACCGCAGTCTGTTATTTTTTTATTTATTTATGTTGGTTTTTAGGTCTATCTCCTTCCCCCTCCCCAGAATTGTGAGTTTTATCAGGGCTGGGACCTTGTCTGGCACAGAGAATCCCCATCACCTGGCATACCACAGGTGCTCAATAAACTTGAAATGAATGGTAGAATAATTAGAGGGGAAGTGAAAATTACTCTGGGGAAGTGCCTTTGAATCCCTGTGCATCTAATTTTGCAATGCCCAAAGACAAACGAAACATGTCTAAGCACCCTGGGAGAGGCAGGGTGTGTGGGAAGAATTTGAATTCTGGGGTCTTCTGCTCCACTCCCACTGGGTGCAGGACTTCCCATTACCCACCCGAGAGAGAGAAAGGGCTCCCAGGCTGCTTCATTTCATGCTGGGCTACAGCTGGGCTTTTTCTGAAATCAGGACTCTCAGCTACACTACGCAACAGGTGTTAACTGCCCCAGGAAAAGACCCTTGAAAAAGAAATTCAAGTCACCAAACATCTCTACTGCCTGGCACAGCAGCTACTGTTTCGTAGGCACCTAGGGGTATGAGGTGTTTGTCACTTCTACATCCATCATCTCTTTTAAGCTCTTGGCTCTGAAGCAGGTATTCCTGGCCCCTTTTACAGAACCTGAAACTGAGGCTCGGGGAAGTAACTTGCCCAGGTGTAGTGAAGCAACGGCTCCTCCTTCCGTCTCAGCTCAGAGGTCAGCCCTTCCGGAAAGCTCTCCTGACCATTCTTCTCTGATCCCAAGCAGCATCTGGCCTCCTGCTCTGTATCCTCCGCCTCCCCAAGCCCCCCATCCCATGCTTCCTTCTATTGAAAGCGCACAGCACCTTAAGTAGGAGAACCTTGAAGGCAGGGGTTGGGTCTCGTCAGGGTTTACATCCCCAAAGGCCTAGTCGGGGGCTGGAGCCTCCACAGGTGTCTGAGCGAAGGTGAGAAGCGAAGGAGGAGGCTGGCAGCCCATCCCAGGGGCCGAGGCCAGCCTGTCCGTGGACGGATGACGAGGGAAGCTCACATACCTCCTGAGCAGAAATCCAGAAACCCGCTGAGACGAAGAGCTGTTTATTTTTCAGCACACAAAAGATGAGGGGCCCTTCCTGAAACGCTGCCGGCCCGGGCTGGGGAGTGAAAGGGCTGGGGAGTGAAACTGAACCCACCTCAGACGTGGGAATAGCTTAGCTGGCTCTGCTCCATGGGGAGCACAGTGGGCCCCAGTCAGCGAGTGACATTCCAACGACAGGGCAGCCCTATCTCTTACCCGATGGGCTCTGGGCGGGGCCTTCCACACAATGTCTTGCTGGATCCCCACACCCACCAAGAGCCCCAACCTCAGCAGGTTATCACTTCCCTTTTAGGAGAAGTGGGAGGGGACCAGGCAGGGAGAGGGGCTGGGCAGACCAGACACCTAGAATGAGCCACTGGGCCCAATGTATCTCTCCCGACCCCGTGAAGCCCTGTGAGGTGGGGATCACCACCTCCACTTTACAGAGGAGAAGACTGAGGATTGGGGAGATGGCGGCACACGCCGTCCCCTGCCCCTAATGTCCCCCGCCCCTGCCCCAAGTCACCTGGCTAGAGAGTGAGATGCCAGGATGTGGATCCTCGCTGCCTGACCTCACCACGCTGCCTCCAGAGAACCCCAGGCACTCAGCTAGTAAGGGGCAGCGCTGGGCCTGGAACCTGGGTCCTGGCCCCCTGGTCCCGTGCTCTTTGTGGAGGGGGAGGTGCTTCTTCAGGTGGGACCTCGTGGAGTCCAGAGGCGCTGAGTGGCAGGTCAGCCAACGCCGTTCTCCCTAATCGCCTCATTTGCGGCTGTGGGGACGCCCGCAGCCAGGGAGCTTCAGGGAAGGGGAAGAACCTCTGCTGCTCTGGGGGGAGTCTCTGCCTTGATCTGCTCGCTCCTCTCCCAGCTCCGCTGAGCCCCTGGATGTGAAATGTGGGCCTGGTGTTCGCGTGAGAAGGGCTTGGCGGAGACCAAGAATGGAGGAGTGGGAACCACGGTCCCCAGTCCTCCCGCTGCACAGAGAAGGTGAGGAAAGCCAGATGGAGGGTGTGATGGTGCCCAGCTCTGGAAACCCCACCCTGTGGAAATCAAAGGCCTGGGGTGAACAGAAATGAGAAGTATTATAAATGCTCGTGTGTTTCTGACGACAAAGGCCTCTGGCCCAGGGGCAGGGCACTGGGTGTGATCCCACCGGGCATTTGCCCCAACTATGTTAGTCACTCAGATGGCTTTCGGGGTTGGTTTGCCCAAGGGCGGGGGTATCTTCCAAGAAATCTAGGAGCCCGTCAGAGGCAGCCGTAAGTGAAATTCAGAGGCTTGCGACTCCGTGACCACATCCTCTGAACCATTTTCACATTCTGTTTCTAAGCTTCAGCTCCTTAGGGATGCTGCCCTTTGTGGCCAAAGCCCCCATCAGTTCTTGCCTCTCGTGCCAGTAATTAGTTGAGATCTGTTGAATCTTGACATTGTTATCTAATATACACTCAGGTTATATGTTAGTTAAATACTTACACTTAACAAGCACAATGATAGAGTGAGTAAAAGCTCTAGTTCCAAACCTCAGTTCAGATCCCCACTATGCCACTTCCCAGTTGCGTGAGCCCGGGCAAGTGACTCAGGCTCTCTGTGCCTCAGCTGTCTCATCTGTAAAACGGGGATGAAAATAATAGCACCTCCCTCGTAGGACTGTTGTGATACCTAAATGGTTAATATAAAGTGCTTAGAACAGTGCTGGGCACATAAGTGTTAGCTGTTATTATTTGAACCATCAATTCTTATAAAACACAAGGCTCAAAAGCACCCCCACCACCTAAAGAACACCACCTAAAGAACAAAATCCAAACTCCTTAGCTTGGCATTCAAGGCCGCCTGGCAATTGGCCCAAACCTACCTCTCCAGACTCACCCTTTCCACGTACCTCTCAGGTGTGTGGCCGTCACCCTGACCCCTAATCTATCCCTCACTCAAAAGGAGTTTTCTGAGTCCTTGATGTTTGTCAGGCCCTGTGCGGCAAGCTGAGGGGGCAGCCCTGAGTAGGACTTGGTCCCTACCCTCAAGGGACCTATGTTTCCCAAGACTGTGCCCCCTCCACCCCAACTACTGCTCTCCATGACTGGCCTACCTCCTCCTCCATGAAGTCCCCCCCCCGCCTCAGTCAGAGGGAATTATGCCCTTCCCTCTGGTGTACCCCCGGCATAGCACCTGCATTTTGTTCAGGCCTTTCTGTCTCACTGTCTTTATCCCAGGGATGGACCTGGGGGTGGGGTGGAGATGGGCAGCAATCATTTTATTTCCCTCCATCCCTGGTGTCCAGCACAGAACCTGGTATATAGATAACTGGTTAATTTGTATCCAAGATTTTCACCAAGGC